TTTTTCTTTTTGCTTATGTGGTGCTGAGGAATCGAACCCAGGGCCTCAGGCATGCAAGGCAAGCACTCTACCACTGAGCCACCTTCCCAGCCCTCATTAATTTTTTAAAAATTGGTTGAGAAGTTAAAATTTACCAAATAATTATCTTGTGACTATGACATAGCAGATGAGTACTAATGACTTAAAGGAAAACAGCTCACTGATGATGACAAATGTTATTTCTTAAAAACTTAAGTGGAAATGAAGGTAATGTGTTCTAACAAAGTTTATTGAATGAAAGTGGTCTTAGTGATGGTGGAAACATTGTTTTTTAAAAAAAATTTTATACATGTGTTTTAAATTCTGTAATATACACACATATATATCTACATGATACATACACATCTTTATATATATGTATACATACATGTATTTACAATATATCCTTGAACATGTACATATCACATAGGATATATAATTGTACATTGCATCTTCAAGTAGATTAAGCTACTTTAATAATTAAATATTTTCATACATCTGTATCTCAGTTTTAGGTGAATCCTAAGTGTTGAGAATAGCCTTTGATCCCCTGTTTTGAATGTCAGCTAAAGTAGGAAATGAAGAAAGGGATCAATTCTTGGACTAAGTCTAATTTGCCTCCATATATAAGGCTCACCTTACCTAATTACATTTTTACAGAGGAAAGGCAAAGCTGAAGACTGGTATTCTACCAGCTTAACAACTAAGTAAAAAATGAAAGATTACTTTTAAGAACTGCTATTGTTTGTAAATAATTATGTTATTTGGAACAAAGTTATCATGCTTTCACCCTTTACATATGATCTTGTTTTCTTTAAATAGATTATTTAAGTAGTTATACAAAGGGCTTTCAATTCAACACGTCAGTTTATATATATGTGGCCTCATTTAAAAAAAATTTTTTTTTGGTACTGGGCCTGGGTGTTGTCCCTTAGCTTTTTTTGTGAAAGCCTGATGTTCTACCATGTTCTCCATTTCTGGCCTTGTTTATTTGAGGAGCTAAGAGTCTCACAGACTTTCCTGCTCAGAGTGGCTTCAAACCATGATCCACAGATCTCAGCCTCCTAAGTAGCTAGGACTACATCCATCAGCCCTGGCAGTGCCTCTTGATTAATGTCACCCTTTCCATCACTTTCCATCTGTCCTACCCCACCAAAAACATTGTTGATACAAAACTATTATATAAAAATTTACATTACAGGTGGATTGGAAAACTATTTCTAATCTTGTAATATAAATATGTAGTGTGTTAAATCAGTTATTCTAAGAACAAATTTGACTTTACTTTAGAAGGGGTGAGGTGGAAGGTATCTTTTTATTGTCTCATATTTGTCATCACCTTATAGTTGGCTGTGTGTGTGTGTTGATCCTGGATTTGAACTCAGGGCCTAGTTGCTGTTTCTGAGCTTTTTTGCTCAGGGCTAGTATTCATCACTTGAGCCCCAGCTCCATGTTTGGCTTTTTGGTGGTTAATTAGAGATCACAGTCTCATGGACTTCCTGCCTGGGCTGGCTTTCCACTGTGATCCTCATATCTCAGCCTCCTGAGTAACTTGGATTACAGTTGGGAGCCACTGGTGCCCTACTTTATCATGCAATTTTGAAAAGTTTTTTCAACCTGTCCACATTTGACCTTTTTTAAGATCATAATTCTTGGAACACATTTATTTGCACTAGTGAATGAAATGTCATACTACACTGGTGAAATAACTTATTTTGTTGTCCTGTAGGCAATACCAAGATTTCCTTGAAGATCTCGAAGAAGATGAGGCAATTAGAAAAAATGTCAACATTTACAGAGGTTGGTTCTTTGGGAGTGTTGAAGTCGTAGACTGTGTAGAGTATGTTGCGATTTCAGACTTGGATTCTCATGAATGAGTTTTATTGTCTGCTTTTTAAGCCAGGTAGTCAAACTTACAAAAAGCAGGCATTTTAAAGTATTGTGTATTACATTCTGAACTTGATAGCATTTTTGTCCTAGCATGATAGCTTCTATAACGGTGGTTTGAATTCTGCCCATTGCTTGTTAGGCAGGTGATCTGTTTCTGAGCACATCGTTATTTGACAGATGGTTTCCTTTTCTGCCCAGATATACTTCTTATTTCTTGTCACTGGGAAGATAGGCATGCCGTGTCACACACAGCTTCTTCCTGTTGTAATGGAGGTTTGCAGACTCTCCTGCAAACTGGTTTGGGACTTCAGGTCTTTTCAGCTGCCTCTGTAGCTAGGATTGTAGGTGCACATCATTGTACCTAGCTGTGGGTTAAGAAGGGTCTTGTGTGTATGACCAGGCTGTCCTGAAATTGGTCCCTCTCTCTTAGCCTAAGTATCTGCTGGTACCTGTTTTTCATTCTATGAATAAGTAGGTTATCTGAGCATATTAAACAATTATAGTTAAGTAATACTAACACTGACAGAAGCAGGTGTTTGTGCTTCTATTTTTTTAAATATATGTTTATTATAAAGATACTGTACAGAAGGGTTACAGTTACATGAATAAGGTAATGAGTACATTTGTTATCCAGCATTGTTATCAAGTACCTCCTTTGTTTTTCCCCTACCATCCCTTCTGGCCTTACCTTCTCAACTTCCTCCCCTGCACAAAGTTATAAAGTTCGTTTTCAGCATAGTGTCTTGTACATCTCATTGTTACAAAGGGTCAACCTGTGTCCTTATTTCAGCATTTCCCCAAAATAGAAAAATTGTATAAAGAAGATGTAGGGCACCGGAATCAAATACACTGAAAACAGGGGTTAAACCATGGGGGAAGAACATACAAAAGAAACAAAAAAATCACACAGTACATTATAAGTACATTAAAAACAACAGCAACAAAGATAAAACCTCTTGTGTCTCTATCTTAGGGTTCATTTCACTTAGCATCATCTTATATGGTCATATGTACATAGCTTTTGAGCTTTTCTGCCTGTCCTAGACGTATACTAGTTATTCCACATAAGAGAAACCATGGGACCTATGTTTCTTTGGGCCTGGCTTACTTCACATAATACAATTTTTTTTGTCTTTCCATTTCCTAACAAATGGGGTGGTATCATTTTTTCTGATGGAGGCATAGATGTGCTTCTATGTTTATTTGAAATCCTTCTGTGTTTCTTAGATGCAACCATTCCTGTGGAAAGTGACACTGATGATGAAGGTGCACCTCGCATCAGTCTGGCTGAGATGCTTGAAGACCTTCACATTTCCCAAGATGCCACTGGTGCTGAAGGTGCCTCAATGATGACGTAAGGAGATTGTGCAGTAGATGGTTTGCATATGGGCTGCGGAGTTGAACAAACCTTTACTGCATACTGTTTCAGCTGGAGAAGTTTAAACTTAAATAAATATGACTTGATTGTTCAAAGTACTGAAAAGATTTGGTAGTTTTGCCGTTTTAGATAATAAAAAATTAGAGAATTATTACTGATATCAAGGTTATTTTATGTGCTCAATTTTAACATTTTAACTTTCAATATATGAAACTATTGTATTTTCATACATTGTGCTCAAAAGTTGTGATTCCTTGGCTGTTAACTAAGTAAGCATAAAATCGGCTTTTACATTTGTTTTATAGTGATTGATTTAATGAGCATAGGAAAGTATATGAAATGTCATTTTTTTCAGTATAAATCTGTCAGGCACTTAGATGCACTTTAGATAATTTCATGTTCTTGGGGCAGAGAAATTGTCACTGAACATTCAGGAAGAAAATTGTTTATTTTTTCATAAAATTAATTCTTCAGAAGTTTTGTTTTTCATTTTCTTGGTGCCAGGGATCAAACCCAGAGCCTTGTGCTTATAAGTTAGGTGCTTTACCACTAATCTACATCCTTCCGACACACAAGAGCTTCTATTTTTTTTTGTCAGTTGTGGGGCTTGAACTAAGGGCCTGGGCTTCGTTCCTGAGCTCTTTTGCTCAAGGCTTGTACTCTTTCACTTTGAGCTGCTGCATCACTGTAAAAGCTTCTAAACTGAGGGTTATCTTAATTTTTATTGCAATAGAAGGAAATATATGTAAAATGTTTATCCATATAGGAAATGCAGGATAGTTAATAGTTTACATGATAATTTGTTTTTGTTATTTTGTTCCTGCAACAGCTTAGAGCAGTAGCCTGTTTACATCATAAAAATAAAAGTATTTTTCTATCATATCAAGGATTTTGGTTTAAAATTTTTGTTTTACAAATTGGGAGGGGTGAAATTTTATCATTGAACCATCACCATCAAAAAGAATATTAGATTCTAGCATATAACTGAAGTAAGAAAACTGAGGCACATACATTATAAAACTATAATTTGAATGGGTATGCCTTCTACACAAGAAGATCCATGATGGAAGTGGTGCTGTGGCTCAGGTGGTAGAGTGCTTGCCTTGAGCTGAAGAGCTGAGGGACAGCACCCAGGCCCAGAGTTTAAGCCCCACGTCTGACAAAAACAACCCCCCCAAGAAAATACACCCCCCCAAAAAAAAGATCCATGACTTGGATTTCAGGTGTGCTGAGAATGATATAATATGATACTGCTTATATAAAGAACATGAAATTTGGGCTGGGAAGGTGGCTCAGTGGTAGAGCGCTTGCCTTGCATGCTCGAGGCCCTGGGTTCGATTCCTCAGTACCACATAAGCAAAAAGAAAAAAGCCGGAAGTGGCGCTGTGGCTCAAGTGGTAGAGCGCTAGCCTTAGCTGAAGAGCTGAGGGATAGCGCCCAGGCCCAGAGTTCAGGCCCCACGACCGGACCCAAAAAAAAAAACAAACATGAAATTTAGCCTGGTGCTGGTGACTCGCACCTGTAATCCTAACTACTCAGAAGGCTGAGATCTGAGGATCACAGTTGAAAGCCAGCCTGGGCAGGAAAGTCTGTGAGACTGTCTACTCTAATTGACTACCAGAAAACTAGAAGTAGCAGAGTACTAGCCTTGAGCAGAAAAGCTTAGGGACAGTGCCCAGGCTCTGAGTTCAAGCCCCATGGCTGACTGGAAAAAATAAAAAGAACATCAGATTAAGTAAATGAATGTGCTACTTCATTAATCATCTGCATACCACTAAAGAGATTGAGCAAGTGCTGAGTGGGATGTAAGTTATACCTCAAGGCCTGTATTTTCTCTAGTGGGTCTCTCCATGCATATTCAATTAAAGTTTATGGATCTAAAAGTCATATCCTGTAGTAGGCATAGCTTGTGGTTTGGAGGTAAGCATGATCATAATAAGCTATCATCTGTGGGTTGGATTTTACTTCTGTGTCAAGAATTAAAAAATTGGAAAATAAAGCCATTCGGTCCTGTGTTAATATCACTGGAATGTTTACAGGAGAGAGTACTTCATAGTTTTCCAAAATGAAATTGTGATGTAAGTGCTTTAATGATTTTCCACTGAAAAATTTAGTTCCCTTCTAACTGTAACCCTATTTCTTGGTTGTTCCATCTTTGTGAGTATGGAAACTTGCTAGTTGATGTAATGCTTTGTCAAGGCAAATGAATAAGAGAAAAGCTGTCATCAAGTGCTTGTACAGAACTAAGCAACCTTCGTAAGTCTACCAGTTTAGAGGCTCCACGAATCCACAGCACACTTAGTGTTGTACCAGTCAGTCTGGGTTGGGAAAGTTGGTATTAATCAAGTGCACAGAAGCTGACTTAAAACCAGGTTATAAATCCAACTACAAGTCAGTATGATTATTATGTTGCCAGCCAGTTCTGCACCGGAAGTTATTGTTGGTAGTTAGACATCTGATGAACAAAGAAAGAGTTAAAGGATAAGGCTTGCATTTATGGATGAGATGGTCAGTGGATCAAACAAATTTCTTGCTACAGAAGATAGGAATTCAGGAACTCAAGCCATGTAGTAAGACACGTGTCCCTGGTTATTACTGCATTCCTGCCATAGTCTTCTCCAGCTTCTCTTAGTAAATATGCTCATGCTAATTCTGTACTTATACTACTTTTGATGTTAGTTCAAGCTTTCTTGGCTTATTATTTCAAAAGAGGAATTTCTTTTTTTTGTTTTTTTTTTGGGGGGGTCCGGCTGTGGAGCCTGAACCCTGGGCCTGGGCGCTTGTCCCTCAGCTCTTCAGCTCAAGGCTAGCGCTCTACCACTTGAGCCACAGCACCACTTCCGGATTTTTTCTTTTTGCTTATGTGGTGCTGAGGAATCGAACCCAGGGCCTCATGCATGCAAGGCAAGTGTTCTACCACTGAGCCACCTTCCCAGCCCAAAAGAGGAATTTCTTTTATGTTTATTTATAATTTTTCCATAATGGCAGAGTTACAGAAAGTTACAAGAGTGGTACAAACAATGCCTGAATACTGTATCTAGATTTGTTAAATAGGAACATTTTACCTCCTTGGCTTTCTTTTTCTTGCTTATGAATTATGCTTCATGTAACCATTTAAGAGTAAGGTGCAGGCTAGAGAAATCAGTCCTAGAATTTGTCTTGCATGTTAAAGGCCCTCAGCTCAATCCTCAGCACCAAAAAGAATTAACAAACTGCTAAGTTCTACTTGCTACATATACCTAGGAATATGTTAGTGCCTTCCATCTCTACAAACAAGGACTTTTAGTAACAATGCAATGTCTAAAGCTACCCTAATCAGTAGATGCTATTAAGGTTTCTTTTTTTTTTTTTTTGGGTCTGGTCGTGGGGCTTGAACTCTGGGCCAGGGCGCTGTCCCTCAGCTCTTCAGCTCAAGGCTAGCGCTCTACCACTTGAG